TGTATATATACATATATAATGTATACATACATATATAATGTATACATATATACACACACACACATAATATATTTGTTGGGATATGTGATATACTAATTGGAATTATATTTTCTTTATTGGTCCAATGGCACAATCTCTGGTTTGTAACAGAGGTTTATTATACTACAATCTCATACTCTATCAACTACCATTTTATTTTGCTTCCAGTTTAAAGTATGACTTACGGGCTGGCCAAATAGCTCAGTGGATTAAAGCACCTGCAAGCAGGTGCAGGGGCTGGGGATTTGATCCTCAAGTCTGCCCTGCCGGCCCCACCTCAGAGTACGCTGAGACGGCCATTGAGACTGGGCATGGTGGCACGCGCCTGTAATCCCAGCTCTTGGGAGGCTGCAAATAGGTGGATCACTATGAGTCTGATCTAGTAGTGAGACCCTGAACACCCTGTAGACCCTTCCTTAAAACATTAAAAAAAAAAAAAAAAATGAAGCATGACTTACTTTCTTGAAAATCTCCTTCTATGTTACCATACCTGAATGCTTTTCTTTCACTGCTGCCCAAGTAACCTAATTTTATCAAGCCTTAAATTTGTTTTATCTGCTACCTCCTACTGTCAACTGCTTAAAATCCCCTTTTCTTATCTTTCATATGCCTATGTTCCAATATGGAACAGCGACTCCCCACACCTACGACACCAGCATTATCCTAACACTGTCCTTTCGCCATTGTCCTCCTATGACATTTTCTTTCTTAACTTTTTTCATTTTGTCATAGTGTGTAGCCTCAAACAACATACAAGGAAGAGTGCAATTCAGCTAACTTAAGATTCTTGGAGACTGAAAGTATCTTACTTCTTTCTTCCTGCTCAATGGATAGTTTAGGCAGATGTACGACTTTCAAAGTCAAAATTATTTTCAGAAAGCTGAAAGCAGCGCTCTTTTGTGGTCTAGGCTCCACTGTTTAGGTGAGAAATGTGATGTGGTATAATTCCCACCTTCCTTCTCTTAAAAGCCTTTAGTGCACTTATGTTCCAAGGAACACTGTAGATAAGGGCCCCTTTTCTCTGATTATACATTTCATTCAGTATTCAATTATGTGCCATATAACAACAGTTTGATAAAAAAAAAATAGACTCCATGTATGATGTGGGTTCCAAGAAGACTACATCACCCACTGCTGTCCTAGCTATCTTTTTTTTTTTTTTTTTTTTTAATGTATTTGCTACAGGGCCTACAGGTTCTCATTACATAGACTGCACTCGTAGTGATTCTCCTGTTTTCAGCCTCCCAAGCGCTGGGATTATAGATGCGTGTCACCATGCCTAGTTTCAATCACTATCTCAGCGTACACTGGGGGCAGGGCCAGCACGGCATGCCTGGAATCTGCCCTATCTTGATGTGTGTAAGTACAGGACATATATAATGTTCACCCCATTGTTAATTGCCAACTGGAAACTTCTCAGGACATGTATCCATTGTTAAGTAACATATGATTTGGGCTGATTCTTAGTGGGCCCTTTCTGTATAAAAATGTATATTCTTTTTACCTCTGAGAAACATTTTCTTACTACTTCTCCTCCATGCGGACTTTTTGCAAAAAAGACATTGGACCTCTGCAGTGATTTTCTATTTATTTCTTCAAATTTTTTGCAAATGCCTATGTTCTGACATTTCTTATATATGATCTGAAATTTTAGGGACTTTTTTCTCTCCCTTTAAATAACAGTGACTACGGTAGTTTGAAAATATGTCCGAATTTTTTTAAAACGCCTTTCTTCAGGAGTGGATCTCAATTCCTATCTTGTGGAGTGGAGGCAAGATTTAGTGACTTGCTTGCAACTGGTGGAAGGGACAACGCATATGTACAGGATCGCAAACATAAAATACAGTGGTACTTTCTACTTGCTCTTGCTCTTGGGTTACTCTAGAAAAATTCAGTTTAACATGTCAAGGCATAGTCAAGCAGCTCCATATGGCAAAGAGCTGGGGCATTAAGAAGTGGGTTTGCCACTCTTTTGAGAGACTCCAAGCCCACCCACCTAAGCTGGTTCTTAGTGCACTTGTGTGCACTAAAAGCTTTTAAGAAAGATAGGAATTATATGTCACATTTCTCACCTAAACAGTGAAAGCTAGAACACAAGAGCACTGCTTTCAGCTTTCTGAAAATAATTCTGACTTTTAGAGTTGTACATCTGCCTAAACTATCCATCAAGTTCTTCACTCACCAAAAAGTGAGGTAATAAGCATTTCATGTGTGTTAAGCAGCTCAGAATTATCACACAAGGATTAATAACTAATAATATATTTGTTGTATCATTTTTTTTTTTTTGGTGGAACTGGGGATTGAACTCAGGCCCTTGAGCTTGCCACAGAAGCGCATATTCCACTGAGCCATCTCCCCAGCCCCCTGTTGTATCATTCTTAATAGTTGTATTTTTAAGATTTTTGTCTCTGAATGTCCCTTTTCCATCAGAACTTATTCTTGATTTATAGATATAGTAACTTCTTTAGAGTCCCCAAATATATTATTTAATATAAAGGTAGCCTTTTAAAGTTCTTATCAATTTCCAAAATCATCTTTTTCTTCTAGAGGAAATTTTTCCAGTTCATTTCATACCTGGCATTATGTATTAATCTTAGGAAGTGACTCTAATAAGCAAATGTTTCTTTCCAAAGGTAAATAATTATGTTCTTAAGAATCGAAGACTGGTGAGCTGATTGGGCTTGCTTTTGATGTTATATGGAAATAGTTCTGTCCGACTGAGGGTGAGTGACTCATTGGTCTTTCTATAGTGAGTCTTGACATGTCTGCCGTCAGGCTCAGGTTCCCAACTCTCAGAATGTCAAGTAATCAATTCCATGAAGGATTTGACTCTCTCTAAACAACTCATTCTATTAAAAAAAAAATGTGCACTGGTTTTCCTCTAGTCCATAAATGATAGATTACTTACATACTATAAAGCAAAATTGCTTACATTTTATATAAAGGTCAAAAGATGCTGACACAGCTGCTTAGATCACAGACATTCAACTCATTCGTCATTTTTAGCTTACTTCTTGCTTTTGTACATATCAACACTGAGCCCAGAGCCTCTCCATGGTTCCAAACTATCTCTTTATGGCTTTTATTGCCCACCTACTATGTTTTGATTTCCATGAATCACGGGGGCTATGAAATATCAATGCTACACTCTATCAGAATGGCAGATCTCAGAAAGTCCTCAGGCAGCACTCCAAATGTTGCCTCTAGCTTGCCTCAAATAGAAATCTGTCTATGCCATGAGGAGTAAGAACCCATGTTTTTTGCTGTAGTCTTCTGAAAAATAAATTGATATTTCTGTCTTAAACTGTGTGTTTTAGAGTGGAGATGTAATGGGAAACCTTGTTTCTCTATCCAAATTTCAGACCAGCATCTTGTGCTCCTCTTGTAAAATCACTTGTCCATTAAAGCTCTCGTTCTCTGGATATTATCACATGTTCTCCCTCCTCACAACACTTTCCTAGTAACCTCTTCTACAGCGCTTTAGTGACACTCCCACAGCCTCATCCTTGACTGTATCAAACCAAAAATTGAACCAATTCATGAATCATGAACACAAACTGACATTCCGTTCTTCAAATAAAACCACTTACATGCTTAGTAACCTAAGAAGCTAACTATAACAAGTATGGAAAAAATACGGTAACAAGCTTCTTTAGTAATTATCTGCAACAATTACTTCCTTGCTGTCTTTAATTTTCAAATCTCCTTGCCTCGCTCACTAAAACCTCACGGCTAATAATCTTGCCTTTCACGTATACTCTGCATCTCATCTCTCCTCAGAGCTTTGCTCTATTGTTCATATACTCTTACTCCCACCTCTCAACCTCTTTTCTCTGCTGGCTTCTCAGTAACATTTACTGAAAACCACTAGGGTCTCAGATTTAGCCTTTAGATCCCCTAACATCTGCCTCTAACTACTGACCATTTCCCTCAATTTTTCTATTATTCCTTTCCTAGACTTATCACCATGTGAATTTCTGTGTGTGACTCTCTCCCTTACGTGACTAAGAGTCAAGAGGTAAGCATCTGTGTATAATTACTATGTGTCAACAACTGACAGAGAATTCGATAAATGTTTTGGATAAGAACTACAAATTATCACACCATCACTGATTTGTTGTAGGTTATATAATATTAAAAAGTTAAAATTAAACTAAACTGATATTCAGCCTGATTTAGAATACTCTGCCTATCATTTGATTAGTGTATTTGTTTTAAAATCCTGACATTAATTAAGGAGACCTTCAGCACTGGCTCACCTGTATCATTCTCTTTCCCTCCTTCCTGGGAAAGAGTCGCCCCTGCAGCCACACAGGATGTGGAATTGGTGGGCAGGAAGCCAGCATCTGTTCCTTCATTTGCTAACCCACTCTGACGGAACTTAGCAGAGTCCTGAGGTTCAGGACTCACAGAGGCGGATGTGGACAAGTGCTTAGGGTGACGTGCCTTCTGTAGCTCCATGGCCCTGCCAACTGAATGGAAAGCAATGATAAGCAATCTGTGTTGTAAGATAGCTCAATAAAAAAGTAAACACATTCTAAAAATAATTGTGGAAATGTATAAAACAAATTATCTCACTGTGCAAAGAATCCACAGAGAAAATGAAAGAAGGTGGGGAGATAGGGGAAGAGAAAAAGAGGGAAGGAGAGCGGAAGAGGGCAAGACAAGAAATAAAGCAAGAGAGAACAGTGGAAGGGAGAAAGGAGGAGATGAAGAAGGGAGGAACAGAAAGGGAGGAAGATAATGGAAGTGAGAGTGAGAAGGATGAGGCAGAAGATGAAGGATCATGAGAAAAGGACATAAGAGCAACAGCGGCTGGGGGAGAAGGAATACCGAGACCGATGTGCGGAGCCGTACCGTGCTGAAGAGCAGAGAAGACACCTCTATCACGTGAGCTCTTCCACAGGTCCCCGGCCACTTTGTCCCCAACACTTACAACGGTGTCACCACAGTGCACCTCATCCTGCTCACTCTCATGTTTATATCAGTCAGAGCAAAAGCTGCAGATCCTCTGGCAACCATTCTCTGCAGCACAGCACATCCTCCCACTGTACACCCTAAGTCTGACCTTGTCCTCCCAAATCCCTACAACTCTCTCTGCACTGCTTGGAAGTCAGGGTCAACATCTGTACGACTGTCATCTCCTCAAAGTCCCTTCCAAAAATTTCTTCCACCTTTCACAGTATTTCTCCACCAGGGGCAATAATGGCATTTGAGTAAGAATTCTTCACTGTGCAGAACTCTCAGTATCACTGTTTTATAACTCATCTTCCACCCCATCATGCCAGTGTTTCCAAATGTCATACTGTCTGAGTTAAGAAGTACTCCCTGACATAGGTACCTTCTCTACAGTGCTACCATCCCTGCTGTTCCTGCAGCCCTCTACAGAGAGCTGATCTTTCTCCACTGGCCCTGGGAGAGGGAGGGAGATCATAAAATAAAAGCACAAGTTGGACATGGTAGTACATTCCTATAATACCAGCATTCTGGGAAGCTGAGCAAGGAGGTTTGCAAATTTGAGTTAAACTTGAGCAACTTATTGAGACCCTGTCTCAAAACAGAACATGGGCTGGGGAGTAGTTCAGTAAAAAGGGCCTGGGTTCAGTTCCCAGTACAACACAAAACAAAAAGCATAACAGGAGATGGAAAAATAGGACTATGGAGAGAGTGAGTGACATATGTAGAAGGGCACAGAATGAAATATGTTGCAGGGATCTACATATAATCTTCTTTAAAAATCTAATGAAGTGGAATGCAAAAGAAATCAGAAGAGATAAGTAATTAAGGTATGAGTATCTGATAGAATGCTGCCACTAAATAAAATGCTTATGGCAATTATATAGAACCTACAGGGTACTTAGTTTAGAAACTGCACTGAAGAGAAGCAGAGCACATAGGAAGTTCAGTGACATCATCCCAAGCACACCTTCCACCAAATCACTCCAGTCAAATGAGCCTCTGCTCTAAAGCCAGAACAGTGGGAATGCAGCACTTCAACCTTCAACATACTTGCGCTATTGTCATGACGGCTTGGTCTCCTTGGGGGTCCCAGAATGCTAGGGAATCCTCTTCGCTTCCCTTTTTCTTCTCCTTCTTTATCTTTCTTCATGCTTTGCTATAGTTGGGGTATAATTAAAGAGATAAAAGATACACACATAGATTTCTTTTGATACTTTCAAATGAAAATGTAATGTTGATGGTTAGTTGAACAAACGTGGTTAAATGTAAATGAAAGTGTGCACGCACACACACATCCCCACAACCAGGCACTCACTAGCACACAGCTTTGCAGACACTGAAAATTCAAGATGTCTATGCAAACTCTTTAGAGACAATACATAGAGAGAAATCTAACTCAAGACCTTGTACTTGTCAGGCAGGTGCTGTGCTGCTGAGCTACCTCCCTGGCCCAGAGATAATAATTTTGGAAAATAAAAGGGAAGTTTTACCAGGAGCTTTTTAACCATGCAAATTTACACATTTACCAGGAGCTTATTCAAAATAATCGATTCACCCACTGAACAATTGCTGATTTAATAATTAAGGAAAACACTACAATCAGTTGGAAAGAAGCACTAAGTCCTGAATGCTCTATTATTATTCCAGTCTTACTTTGATTTTTGGAAGGAATCCAATCCGACCCCGCTTGTGCTCCAAATTTCGAGGTTCTTTCACTTTTACTCCCAAATGCTTCATATACATGAGAATAACGTACTGCATTGTGGAACTAAAGGAAGAAGATTAAGTAAAATAAAACTAATGAGAAGAAAAGGTTGGTCAAAATAAAGACATCAAATGATTTCTAAAGCCCCTATGTTGAATTCTTTAAATTAAACAAAAACAAAGTAAAAACTATCTTCAATGCACACAGAAACAGATTCTATTTGTAAATACTAGAACAGTAGTCAAATAAAATACAGGCCACCAGAGGGAGACCACACGCTACATTGCTTAAGTTAAAAGAACTAAATTGTAATTTAGGGCTGAAGGAAAGGAAGTCAGCTTTTTTTTTTTTTAATTCTAGGAAAAAATAAAATTTTATTACCTCTTTTCTTCTTCGACAGCCTGAGCAGTCATCCTAAAAAGATTTAAAAAGAAAATACATTAATTTAATGAAAGGCTTATTAAACTGAGACTTAACACAACAGAACAGAACCAAAAGCTTTGGGCCTCACCAAACTCTGTCATCAAGAATAAAACACCCAAGGAATCCTGATTCCCAAAAGAACCATTCTCATGTCTCATTCATGTCATCAAGTTAATATGGTTTATAGCAAGAAATATTTTCAAAGTCTATGCATTAAAACCAATGAAGGTCTTCACCAAGTTTTGATTATGGATTAGGTTTCTTGGTGTTACTCATTTACCAACATTCAGAAAACGATACACAAGAATTTTATCTAAAATAAAATATTGTAGGGGTGGGGGGTTCTGAAGGATAATGACAAAATAAATAGCTCCATATATACAATCTACCCTTTCAAACTTTTTTTATTAGTACATATTTGAAGTACATTCCTTGTATGAAGTTGGCACATACACATAACACAGCTTAATTCCTTTTTTAAATCCCCTTGTCCTCCTCTCCTTCTCTCTCCATCTTTTAATCCCCTTCCTATTTGAGAAAGATCTACTCTATTTCTATCTATCTTTAATTTTGCTATCTATAATTTTTTCACACAAATTATGTGACATTTTTTTTATTTTACAAGACATTATGTGCACCCTACACATAATGTTTCAAAGTGTAGCCATTTTCCTACAAATAAATCACGTTTATCTTTCTTTATGACAAGGTTACAGAAAGGAAGAGGAAACTTTCAACATTGCTAGTGGGAATGTAAACTAGTACAGCCACTACAGAAATCAGTATGGAGATTTCTCAAAAAACTAAAACTAGAAATTCCATTCGACCCAGTTACTGCCACGTTATCTTCCCAAGAGCTGAAGACGGGACGCCACAGTGACGCGTGCACGCCCATGTTTACAGCGGCACAATTCATAATGAGTTAAATCTTGGAAGCAGCCTCTGTGTCCACTGACAGATGAGTGGGTAAAGAAAACGTATTTCTACACAATGGAACACTAATTCTGTTCAGACTACTTCAAGTAAAGTTGGCAATTTCACATGATTTTTTTCCACATGTACTCCTATTACTTACAATACTTCTTCAATTTTGGAAACAATCTGTTCTGCACATGCCCGCTCCTTCTCCAAAGTTACCCGGTCCTTGTCTCGCTCAGCATCGAGTTTAGTTAGCTCACTTTCGGCCAAGGTTAGTCCCATGCTACGTTTCTGTCTAAAGGGGATAGAAAAAATCTCCTGAGTGATCTAGAGAAAAATCGTCTCCCTCCAGACAGGTTTTATCAGTGTCTATAGCTATGAGCTTCTAGAAACAAGTCAAATGCCACAGTTTCGTATTTATGGTCCATGTCACTTGGGATACCAGAGATGAAGAATATCCAAAGGTAATCATTGAAAGATACATCTCTTTGTCATAGGCACAGTACTGAGTTCAAATCCTGAAATACATACATGGGATAATGACTAAGAATTCTCATTTTCACTCTAACCCTTTGACTCCACATAAATGATGCTAAGTGGGGCTGGGGAGATGGCTCAGTGGAATAAGTGCTTCCCTGGCAAGCACAAGGGCCTGAGTTCAATCCGCAGTTCCACACACACACAAAAATAATAATAAACAACAACATAATGGTAAGAAGTAAGGCCATATGGTTTACCTAGTGCTGTTAAGTTTCTAATGTCTTTTTCCTACTTAAAAAAAAAATTCAGCTGTAGGGGACTCAGGTCAACAATTTCTGACATTGCCAGTGAAGCGGAAGACCCAATACTATTATGGGCTACTGGACTCTTTTAGAATATTTTGCTGAGTTTACACACCTATAATATTCAAATAACGGAACTTAACAAAAAAAGAGGATACAGATGAATGTCCATTTTGTATCTGTGTATTCAAAATGGTTAGGATAGATATATAGTTGCATTCTCTTAATGAATAGAGGGATTTGTTCTAATAGTGTTTGTAAATAGGATATCATGTCCACATCTTGCACTCCAATTAACCACTAGGAAGAATGTATGCAATTATTGAAACTGTCCTACCAATTTGGCTTGAAACTGTCTCATTGCTATTTGTTTCTCAATAAAATTATGGAAAAATAAAGAAATTTAATGTAGAAAGCCAAAAAAAAAACCCACCTCAGAATGAACCCATCAGGTTTTATACACTGCCAAGCTTACCGAAAATCTTCCAAGTGCCTCTGAACTTCTGGATGGACTCTTTCTTGCATAGTTTGGATATAGTGACGATGTAGTTCCTCAGGAATAAGCTCAGGTCTTCTCTTTTCTGCATAAAGAGAAAGGAATTATTTCATCTGAACATATACTTTATGAAACATTGAATATAGCTGGAAACACAACGTCACTTTGCAGAAATGTAACTTGGAGCACACCAAAGAGAAAGTCTGCACTATGGCTCATGCAGTTCTGCTCAGAATTCAGATTTCAATGCTCTTCAGTGAATTACTGGCTCCTTCTGTAGAGATTCAAGTGACTGACCCATCACCAAATGACAGATAAAACCGTTAGAGCGGAACTGAGCTACATAATTACACAGACTTAAATCTGTAGGATACTATTGTCCCAAACTTACCTAGGTCTATAGATATTTCATCAGGAACAGAAACTTTCAGGTGCTAAAAGAAAAAACATACACATATATATATAAACCAAAGGTGAAACTGTGCTAAGACTTTTCATGAAGCACATGGATTCCTCTATAAAGCAAAGGGGTACAGCTTGAGTATCTAATCATGTAAGCATATGCACATAAAAGCTTAACTTATCCACATGTCACAGTTCTGGAATGTACTGTTTAAACTTAGAAATAAGATTTTTTGAAGTATTATGCTCTAAAGGAAACACCCAGTTATTTCACTGGATGACTGAAAGCTTCAGTGTTATCCTTATTCCTAATGAGTACACTGGCTTTGGCTTTCTTTTTCTTTTTAATTTTATTTATTTATGTATGTGTGTGTGTGCGTGTGTGTGTGGCCAGCTCAGCCCACCAGGGGGCGGGGCTGGCTGGCATGTGGTGCTGGGGGATCGAACCACGGTCCCTGTGCTTTGCTAAGCTTGTTCTAAGTAGGTGCTTTAGACCACTGAGCCATCTCACCAGCCCCATGGCTTTGGCTTTCTAAAATTACTAATTATTATAATCCCATACACATCATTTGAATAACTATATGTAAAATCTGAACTGACTTAATGTATAATAATTTTTATTTCTTGGATTTGAGATCCTATAGACCATGATATTCCTACTGTCCAGTGCAAGTTTTAAAAACCTCAACAGTCACATTTCCAAAAAGAATTTTTCTGAAAGTCAACGGTGAAATTTTTGGAGTCTTAAATCTCCACTAATCAACTATACAGTTCTTGCTACTAAACTAAAAAGGAAAACAGCTGGATTGGAATAGAGGAGGAACAATTCTTCAATAGCATCAGAAAAGGAAAAGAGTACATGGTATAATGGAGTGCGTAATACATCTGCTAGAAGTTTTCCTCTCTATATATTAAATTTCCCAAAGACACAGCAAGATTATGAGCTCAGAAAGAACTAGGAGAGGAGGTGATAGACATGAATCAGTCAGCAAGAGAAACACAAAATGAAAGGATGAGAGCTATGCAGCATGATCTCCAAGGAAGCATTAAGTGCTAAACGCTATTTACTCACAGAAGAGTGAACATAAAATTTAATTTTAAAATTTTATTAAAATTTCCACTGGAGGGGCTGGCCAAATAGCTCAG